AGTGCTGCTATAAATAATTTGATGTACATGGTAGTTTTCTTTCAAATGTTTGACTTCCTTGAAGTACATTTGTAGCAGTAGGCTCTCCTTTAACAGATTGCAGGAGAAAGGGCACTGGAGTCGGAGTCAAAAGACCAGAGTTCAAATTCTGCCTCCTTTACTTACTAACTGTATGGCTGTGGACAAATTATTTGGCCTTTCTTTGCCACGATTTCTCTTTTTATATAATGTCACCATTAGACTATAGGATCTCTATGCCACTTATAGCTATAAATCTATGATCATATATGTCTCTGGTCTTTGTGTTCTCAACAGGTATTGCAATATATCATAAGTGGTCCATTCTTAATAATGTTTAATGGTTTTTTTTTTTAATGTTTAGTATGTAATGTGACCATGTAAGAAATTATTTGAATTCAATTATATCTAAGTGCTTGTTAATTCTCTTCAAAGTTACATTAGAGAAAAGAGGCTGATATAAACAGGCAAATAAAGAAAAATTTTAATGCTTTTGATATTACTCTTTGTTCACCTCTAATACTCAAATAGCGTATCAGTATGCTTGACTATTTCTTTTTAAGAATAAATTTATTATTTAGCTATTTTTAACATTAAGATTTTTTTGAGTTCCAAATTTTCTGCCTCCCCTCATTGTCGTTGAAAAGGCAAGAAATGTGATACCAATTATACGTGTGAAATCATGTAAAACATTTCCATATTAGCTGTGTTGAAAAAAAAGGCAAGAAAAATAAAGTAAAGTAATGTTTCTATCTAAACTCAGACTTTATTAGTTCTTTCTCTGGAGGTAGATAGCATTTTTCATCATAAGTCCTTTGAAATTTTCTTGGGTCATTGTATTGATAAGAATAGCTAAATCTTTCACAGGTGATCATTATACAATATTGCTATTACTGTGTACAATATCCTGGTTCTGTTCACTTCACTTTCATCATATTAAGTGTTTCCAGGATCTTTGGAAACCATCCTGCCTGTTATTTCTTATAGACAATAGTATTCTGTCATGATCATATATCACAACTTGTTCAGTCATTTCCCAGTTGATAAGCATCCCTTCAATTTCCAATTCTTTGCTACCACAAAAAGAGCTGCTATAAATAAATATAAATAAATAAATATCTAGGTCCTTTTCCTTTTTCTTTGATCTCTTTGGGATACAGACCTAGTAGTGATATTGCTGGGTCAAAGGGTATGCATAGTTTTGTAATTGTTTGAGTATAGTTCCAAATTGTTCTCCAGAATGATTGGAGCAGTTACAACTCTACCAACAGTGCAATTAGCGTCCTGCTTTTTCCATATTCCCTCCAACATTTATCATTTTTTTTTTCTGTCCTATTAACCAATATGATATGTGTGAGGTCTGGGGCCTCAGAGTTGCTTTAATTTGCATTTCTCTAATCAGCAGAGATTTAGAGCACTTTTTCAAATAACTGTAGATATCTTTGATTCCTTCTTTTGAAAATTGCCTGTTCGTATCTTTGACCATTTATCAATTGGGGAGTGACTTGTATTTTTATAAATTTGATTCAGGTCCCCATATATTTGAGAAATGAAACCTTTATCAAAGAAATTTAGTGTAAGTTTTTTTTTTTTTTAACCCCAGTTTCCTGTTTTCTTTCTAATTTTGATTACATTGGTTTTGTCCGCGCAAATCTTTTTTAATTTAATGTAATCAAAATTAACCATTTTACTTCTCATGATCATGAGTTGATGCTTTCCAAAGATTAACTTCATGACAAAATACAAAATAAAAACCTTTGTCTAGAAAATAAAGTGACAAATTATTTTTATACTTGAAGAAATTTTTCCCATGAAATACTGGTAGAGAAAGGTCATTGACTTATGAAATAGTCATAAGTTATGCACGAGGTTAATCTTTGGAAAGCATTAACTTTAAAACAAAGTCAGGCATTGGTCCCCTCTAATAATCCCTGGGATACTTCCTGGACACTTTGATGGGTCTATAATCTCACTGATTACTTTTTAGTAATGCAGATCACAGTTCGTCATAATAGCAAACAAGTTATATAGGGCTCGAAGGATAGCAAAATACTTTAGAAATAGTATCTCATTTGATCCTCACAATAATCCTGGGAGGGAGGTGGTGTTATTGTCATCACCTTACAGGTAGGGAAAGTGAAACAGACAGGTTAAGTGACTTGAGCAGGGTCACACAGTGTCTGAGTCTGTATTTGAATTCTGGTATTCTTCATACCTCATCCATTGGGACACCTAGTTGCCTCATCAGTATCCGTGTGACTCTTTCAATGTCTTTGAGGCCCGTGTGACTCTAAGGGGAAGTATGGGGTGTTCAGGGAGAGCTAGCACCTTTTGTGTGAGGGCTTGCTGAACCCTTTTCGGGGCTGCTCATCTACTTCTGGTGTCCACCTGTCACCCAACTCTCATCTGTTGCTCCAAGAAGCTGTAGCATGTGCAGCAGCCGTACTCCAGTAAAACCATCTTGGCAGATGGGCTAAACCAGATTGAAGGTAACTGACAAGCCTCAAACCTGTTGGTGAGTTAGGTAGATGTCTACCCGAAGCGTGTGAAGACTGCGCCTGGCAGAATGGGCAGAAGAGAACGATTTGTTCCAACAGCCATGAAGGTGGCTGAAGCAGGCTCTATGGAGCCCTTCAAACTCGGTCAGACATCAAAGAAAGCAAGGTCATCCATTGTGTCTTGGGCCATTACCAGACATCCTGACTTTTGTCTTGCCGCTGGACTTTGATGACTAGAAGAATGAATGAGGCTGACGATTTTGTGCAGCTCTGCCTCACTTAAATCCAGTTCACAGGAAAGTCAAAACATCACGCCATAATATCTTTGGTCCTCTTTGAAAATGAAGGATGAACAACTCTAAGGGCAATGGCCCTGGTGATGGAAGATTGTGGTCTAGATGAACTGTGGATGATGGTTAGAATATTTGAAAAGGTGTTTTGATTCTTTGTTATATGGGATGGCAGTCTGTGGCAGGGGATGACTTAGGTGATATAAAAATGAAAGACATTGATAAAAATGTGTGTGTGTGTGTGTGTGTGTGTGTGTGTGTGTGTGTGTGTGGAGAAGGGCCTGCAGGAGAGACTTGAGGTAGGGAGACAAATCAGAAAGGTTTTACAGCAACTGAGTTTTGCACTCAGGTGGTAATTGAGTAGCAACAAGGGGGGTCAGATGTGAGAGATGTCGGGAGGTAGCAAGGTGTGACGATTGTTGAGATACATGGGGCAAGGGAGAGGGAGAAGAGGAGGATGATGCCAAGCTGAAAAACCAGTGATAATCCAAGGTCCTTGATCAAAGACTTATGTTTTTTACACATGCCTCGGAGAGACCTTACTTGAGCCCTTGTGGGCTCACCCATCCATCGTTCTGCTCCTTCAGAAGAGCCAGGCTTTTCTTAGGGCAGTTATTCCTTCTGCTGATCTGAGCTGAAGCGCCCTGGAGGAGTTGCTGTGGTCAACAGAATTCATTAGTGCAATCCTTGGAAGTTTAGAGCTGGTTATTATTAATGAGTCCAATCCCCTGATTTTGTACATGAGGAAACTGAAGCCCAGATAAGTTAAGTGACTTACGCGCTCAAAGTCACACAACTCATTAGTAGCTGAGCCAGGGCTGACATTCAGGTTTTGTCTAAATCCAGTTTTTTGGTGGCCATCATTTGAGGGCTGGCCCTGTGTGAATTCAGCCTCATCCCTGAGCGGCAGACCTACACTCCCTACCGGCTTTCTGCTCAAAGCCTTTCAGGTTTGTTGTAGGACCTGCCCAAGCTTGTTTTCTGTGGGCATAGTCTTTGGGTTAATGCAGGCTCAGTTTAGGGTGAACCAACTTTAGGGGCTCCCCATTCCCTGCCCTAGAGGAGAAAATGCAGATTCCTCAGGCTGGCACTTAAGATTCCCCCTATTTTAATCTGACCCCCACTTGCCTTTCCTGCCTTATTTCCTACTACTGCCCTTCATGAGTTCTGCATTGAAGACCAACTGGAGGGCCAGCCATTGGTGCTCAATCTCCCACCTCCATGTAGTCATGCAAGACAGTCCTCTGGCTTGGAATCCTCCTGGCTGCCCCTTGTTTTCCTGGAAAGCTTCACACAGATGCCCCATCCTCTGTGGATCCCTCCCTGACTCCTGGAGGTGTTTTTACTTCCTTCCTCCCCGGTTCTCCCTGTGTTACTCTTCTCTGTGGACTTGTCATATCCATCCAGTGAAATGTAAACTCTTTGATGGCTGAGATGTTTTTGTTTTTGTTTGTATTCCTAGCACCTCGCAGAATGTCTGACCTGTGAGGATGGGGTAGGGACTGGACCTGTGATTTCACCAAGAGAGGGAATTCTCTGATGAAGAAACTCTGTCCCAGTGAAGGTTCAAACCTTCTCTGCAGCCACTCCCTCTGGCACGGGAGGTTGGCCCTTTCTCTACATGTTAGACAGTTGTCTTTGATGCTGACAGGCTGTGATGTGCCCATCTAGCTCCAGTGTGTCAGAGGTGGTGCTTAACCCAGGGATGTGTTCCTGACTTTGAGACCACCTCCCCCCCCACCCCCTCCCCCCCCCCCCCCCCCCCCCCCGCATCTAGGAGGAACTTAGTAAAAGTAAAATTGAGAAGGGCCTTGCTGGGGGCACCTGCTGAATACCAGAGGCTTTCAGTCATATGTCTACTTGCCAGAAGCAACATGTTTCTTGTATTCAAAACAAGAATTCAACAAGTCATTCTTTTCTTTTTTAAATTTTCTTTTTTTAAATTAACAAGTGTTTGTTTTCCTTGTCTCTCTCCTACTGAAAAAATGAAAAAAAAAAAGCAAAAACCCATGTAACAAATATGTATAGTCAAGCAAAACAAATTCCCATATGGTCACGTTCCCAAAAAACGTGTATGTTGTTGAAATCTCATTATGTGAGGAGAATATGTACGCACTGATGCAGCGTTTTTTTCAAAATAAGGGGTAGAAATTCTGATGACTACTCACAGTTCTTTCTTTTTTCCTTTGCTTAGTTGGAGAACACCAGTTGACAGGCCATAAAGTGGCAGTGAAAATCTTAAACAGACAGAAGATTCGTAGTTTGGATGTGGTGGGAAAAATCAAAAGAGAGATTCAAAATCTCAAACTCTTCCGACACCCTCACATTATCAAACTGTAAGTACTTTTATGTCTGAGAGTCCAAGAGGGAACATTCTCTTGAAATGATTACTGGTTTACTTACAAACAGTGATATTTTTAGTTTGGTAAAATCTTTTAATTTGGTTTTGATCAAATTAATATTATCATTGACTTCAATCATTTCCCCTAGCTTTGTTTCTTAACCCTTCTGGTTTGAAATTTAAAGCCATCGTCACCCAGTGGTTTGGTGTTCTAGCTCTGTACACAGCATAGGAATGTCTCCTAGGCCTCGGGCTCCTTTCCCCATCACTATGTCCACTTAACGGTCATTTATGACTTTGCATTTTGGGGGTTCGTGCTATAATTTTCCCCTAATTAAACTTGCAGAGCACCCACGTATTCCCTGTTTATTTTCTTTTCTCTCCCCGGGGGGAGGAAAGAAAGCCCGGATGACGGAGGTTGAGCCTGTGATTGGATTCAGGCGAAAGTGAGAGGCAGCATCACATGGTGGACAGTGGTGCCTGGGAGTCCGAAAGACCAGTGTTTATGCTCCCCCTTTGCACACTACCTTTTGAGCTGCTGTGTGACCCTGGGCAGCTCACTTCACCTTGGGAGCTGCTACACTTTCTTTTTCTTTAAAATGGGGAAAATAAAACCTGTCATAGCTGTCCCCCAGGGTTGTTGTGAGGATCAAATTAGATAATGAATGAAAAGCTCTTTACAAACCCCAGTGGGTTCTGTGAGAGACAGTAGTTCTTATGAAATCCTTGGAAACCTGAAATGAGATATTTGGACAATGCAGGCTGTGCTTTAATACAGAGAGGAAGTATAATGTTCCAGGGACTGAGTTTATTTTTTATCTTAAGGATTGGACAAAGTTTTGTGAATTAGATTCAGTCAGTTAACACATACTTATTAAGTGTTTACTGTGTGCCGGGGATTTTGCTATGCGCTGGGCAGACAGAGCAAGGCAAAAGCCTCTGCCCTAGAGGAGCTCACATGCTGGTGGAAATAATGAAATGCATACAAGGTATGTACTGAGCAGGTAGAGGTTAGAGCATCTCAGAGGGGAAGGCACAGGCAGCTGGGTAACAGGAAGAAGCCTCCTGTGAACAGTGGCATTTGAGCTGAATCTTGTAGGAAACAAGGGAGGCTAAAGGATAAGTGAGGAAGGAGCCTGTTTAAGGTACAGGGCACAGCCAGTGCAAAGGCATGGAGGTGGGAGATGAGATATTTGAGCCATTGTAGCCAAATGGCGAATGTGTGGAGAGAAGTAAGGGGTAAGAAACCATGAAAATAAGAGGGAGCAGGTGATGGAGAGTTGTAAGTGCCAAACAGAGAACTTAGTATTTGATCCTGGAAGGAATATGGAAAAGTAGATTTTATCAAATGGGAAATGGGGCAAGGGAGAAATGGAGCATGAATACACTTTCAGTATAGCTAAGAGCCAGTACAATTCAGATTGGTGATAAGTTTGGCTATTACCTCCAAGGAGGATGGCCAGAGGGAGAGTCTGGACATGGCAGTGGGGGCCAGGGAATGTTCTTCCTCCTGCACCACAGGCCGTGAGTGGGGCAGGGGATGAGTGAGAGGAGCTTCCAATCATTGCAACAGGAGATAGGATAAGAGAGCAGGAGTAGCTGATCATCTAGAAATGAGTTCCGGCAGCGTTTCATTGGTTAGAAGAGGTCCGTGGTGGGGGGCACACAGCTAGACTATGTGAGGTCACGGCGGGTTGTGATGCGTCCGGTGATTCCCTGGGAGGCTGGCTCATCGCAGGCAGGGCAAAAGGAGATAGTTGTACTGGCTCTGTGCTGGAAAAGGTCGGGGGCTTGGGAGGTGGGGGTGGGGCTAAAGCTGCAGAGGGTCCTGGAGGCCACTGGGTATGTGGATGGGTCTTGTCCCAAGAGAGTTGCCTGGAAACATCTTAAGTATTAGATAAAGTTTTAGGAATCAGATTGAAATCATCATAATTCAGGGAATGGAAGAATTGATAGGAGTAATGGGGGAATCCTTAGGAATCTAAACTTAAGAGCCTGACCCTATGCTTATCATTTGTACACCTTGGACATGGACACCTCTGGTCGCTGCTCTGAGCCTTCTCCGAGTTCTCTGACCTGCAGGGCTGCTCAGTGGGGAGGGTGCTTGCAATCCAGAATTCCTCCTTGCTTGCACATCTCCTCACCACTTCAGCCTACTGGACAAAACAGATGAAGTGAGGGCAAACTAGGAGAGGAAGACGAGTGTATCAGGGAAAATGTGGTAAAGCAGAAATGGACCCCTAGAGCAACGCAGCAAGGATTCTGTTCTCTCATCCCCTCGCTTTACATGCTGCGGCCACTGGGTCAGCATGTTTCCTAGTGACCAGCTCCCGTATGACTCCTGATTGAACAGAGTGGATTCTCCCCTCCCTGACATTCAAGGCCGTCGGCACTCTGGTGACACTCTCCCTTGCCAGCCTGCTATTGCTCCCCTGCATCTGTCCCTGCTTCAACCAAACTGGATTGCTTTCTCTTTTCCTGCATAGGCATCGCACCGTTCTCCCTCCTTGCATCTGTCCCTGTTGCTCCCTGCGCTTCCCCCTTGCTTCTCCTATTGGTATTTTGAATTCTTACCCACCTTCTAAAGTCCAACTCAGATTCCACCTTTCTAGAGTCCCTCCTAGGATCTTCTTCTAGAGTCCTTCCTTCCCTAGGATCCCTCCCTTCCCTTCCCTTTTCACCACCATCTTCCTTCTTAGACCTCACCTATCAATGCTTTTAAAATGTCTTTAATGTACTAATCATGTAATAATTATGATAATAGCAATAACTGATATGTATATAATACTTTAAAATTTGCAAAAGTGTTTTACATCCATGATCTCATTTGAGTCCCAGAGCAATCCTGTGAGGTAAGTGCTATAGGTATTATCATTCCCATTTTACAGGTGAGAACATTGAGACTCAAGTGTGTTGCATCTTGCCCAGCCTCACGCAGCCAATAAATACGAGAGATGGTTTTGAGTCCAGCCCTTTCTGACTCTTAGCCCAGGACCCCATCGGTCTCACCGTGCTGCCTTTCGTGTAACGTACAGAACAATAATATCCCTAGGGTCCCAATCCCAAAGTTCATTAGGAAGAGAGTACGAGAGGACTTTCCTCTGGCACCAGTTTGGAAAATGGATTAAAGGGACGCCTAGAATGGCTGTGAAGCAGAAGTGATACCAGGCTTAGTGCAAGTCCCCTGGCCAGATTGAACCACCTCCCACTCACCTGAGAAGGTGACTTGTGGCTGAGCTTCTGTCTGGGATCTTTGTGAGGTGTGGAGATTCAGGAAATGTAAATGTGCTGTTTTTTTTCTGGAGCAGAATTGAGCCTGCAGCCTGTAGGCCAGTGAGTGATGCTTATTCCTGGCTACACTCTAGGAAGTGTGACTAAAGGAATGCTATCTTGAGCGGGAAGTGCCTTAGACACAAAAAAACTGGGAGGGCTTCAGGAACAGGTCGTGCAGGACAAGCCTGAGTTCTCTAGGTGATGGGGTTTCTCCTCTGGTAGGTCAGGGGAAGGCCACAGCTATGTTTTCCCTGAATTTCAGGAAATAAAGTCTTAATAAAGTTTTTATGATTTTCTTCTGTAAAAGATCAAGAAATATCGTGTAGCTCAGAGATGTCAAACATGCACCCCACAGCTGCATACATTCTGCAGTCCTGCAACTTCTGAGTGGAGACATTAGACTAAAACAGAATTAGGAAATACTTAACAAAATAAAAATACAATAGAAAATAGAAAATGTTAATGTGGGGTTTTCTAAGTCAGTGTGTAGCCTGCAGGGATCCTTTGTATGGTTTAGTGACTTCTATTTTTATTTGAGTTTGACACCAGTCTTCTGAATGATGGTACAAATGAATGACCACTTGTTGAAAGTGCCATACTGGGGAGGCTTTCTGGTTCATTCAATCCTGTTGGATATGGGATGGACTGGATGGGTTCTGAGGACCCTTTCTGAGGACTCTGAAAATCCTGTGATTTTGTGAAATAAATGAAATTGTAACAGGGTGAAGGGCTGGGCACACAAAATAATCACAGAGTCTGAGTTGTAAGACATATTGAGAGGAAATCCAGTCCAACTTCGTGCACCAACAAGAATGGCCTCTTCTATATTCTGGTCACCCACCTCTGTGTGAAAATATCAAAGAAGGGGGAACCTATCACTTCCACAGAAATCTCTTTCCATTGTTGAGTAGCTTTTTTTTTAATTTTAATTTTTTTTTAACATGCATTTTTAAAACTTTGGGTTACAAATTTTCTCCCTTCCTCCCTCCCCACCCACACTCATTGAAAAGGCAAGCAACTCGATACAGGTTATAGAGGTGTAGTCATGCAAAACACTTCCATAGTAGTCATGTTGTGAAAAACTAAGTATATTTCCCTTCATCCTATCCTACCTCCCATTTATTCTATTCTATCTTTTGACCCTGTCCCTCCTCAGAAGTGTTTGCTTCAGATTATCCCCTCCCCCAATCTGCCCTTCCCTCTATCAACCCCCTGATCTCTTGTCCCCTTTCCCCCTTATTTTCCTGTAGGGTAAGTAGATTTCCATACCCCAGTTGTGTTTGTTATTCCCTCCTTTTGCCAAATCCTATGAGAATAAGATTCACTCATTCCTTCTCACCTTCCCCCATTTCCCCTCCACTGTAAAAGCCTTTTCTTGTCTGTTTCATGTGAGATAATTTACCCCATTCTATCTCTCCCTTTCTCCTTCTCCCAGTATAATCCTTTCTCACCCCTTATTTTTATTTTCCAGATATCACCCCTTCATCTTCAACTCACCCTGTGCCCTCTATCTGTCTATCTATCTATCTATCTATCTATCCATACATACATATAATTTTTTTCCCCTTCCACTACCCTAATACTGACGAAGGACCCATGAGTTACAAATATCATCTTTCCATGCAGGAATGTAAACAGTTCAACCTTAATAAGTCTCTTATGATTTCTCTTTCCTGTTTACCTCTTCCATGTTTCATTTGAGTCTTGTATTTGAAAGTCAAA